ACAATTTTAGAAAATGAATTAAATGATACAAAAAAAAGATTAGAATCTTTAATCACTTCAATCACTTTAAATCCAACAAATTCAATAACTAATAATGGAAGATATGATGAATTGGAAATTTCTCACAAGATTATTTTAAAATTAGATTTATTAAAACAAGCAAATGAAGAAATGTTGAAACAATTAAGTTTTGGTAAAAGTAAACAAGTTGATATTGAATTAAATTTATTAAAAATGGAAAATGCTAAATTAAAAGAAAAGTTGAAAAAAATATGAAGAAAATTAATAATCGGACCCATCCATCAATACTAATGACATTTGCTATGATTTTATTTTACTAATTGCATTGATTTTTTAAAAACTATGAACAGTTGTGTATTTTTTTTTTAATAATTTGCTATGTACTAAACCAAACTGTACTTACTTCTTTAATGCTCTTCTTGCCTTGACAGCTTCTGCCAACTCTTTCAAAACAGCTTCTGTACTGTCAACATCAATACAAGCATCAGTAATACTACATCCATAAACCAAATCTTGTTTACCACTTGCTGGAACATCTTGTCTACCTTCAACCAAATTACTTTCAATCATTAATCCACAAATAGATTCAGAACCTTTTTTAATTTGTTCAGCAACTTCATGTGCAACTTTTGGTTGATTTCTATGATTTTTATTTGAATTACCATGAGAACAATCAACCATTATTCTTGGTTTTGATGTAATACCTTGAGCAATTAAATCACTTTGAGCTTTTTTAACACTTTCTTCATCAAAATTTGTACCCGATTTACCACCTCTTAATATAACAAAAGTATCTTGATTACCTTCAGTACCAACAATTGCCACAATACCAGGCTTTGTAACTGAAAGGAAATGATGACTATGTGCAGCAGATCTCATTGCATCAATAGCAACGGTTAATGAACCATCAGTACCATTTTTAAACCCCACTGGGAATGATAAACCTGATGCTAATTCTCTATGTAGTTGAGATTCAGTAGTTCTTGCACCAATAGCACCTAGGGAGAATAAATCTGACAAGAATTGAGGAGAAATAGTATCCAACATTTCACCAGCAATTGGTAATGTTTTAGTTAAATTAACAAATAATTCTCTTGCGATTCTTAAACCTTTATTAATTTGAAATGAATTATCAATATCTGGATCATTGATTAAGCCCTTCCAACCAACTGTGGTTCTTGGTTTTTCTAAATATGCTCTCATGATGATTAATAATTCACCTTTAACTTCATCCACGATTTTTTTCAATTTTGCTTGATATTCCAAGGCAGCTTTTGGATCATGAATTGAACATGGACCCACAACTATGATTAAACGATCATCTTGTCCGTTTAAAATCTTGATAGCATCATCACGACCTTCCAAAATAACCTTCTTATTAACTTCATCTAGTGGGAATTCATGTTGTAATAAATCTGGTGGAGTTAATGGATCATAACCTGTAATTCTCCAGTCTTCTAATCTTGTACGATCTCCAATATGTTGATTTTGGATAAACATCTGATGGGTATTGTTTGATTGGGACATGATAACGTTGCTTTATAGCTTTGAATAAATAAAAGGAATAAATAGTAATGGCAAACACCAACTTATAAATAAAGTATCCAGTTCTTATGAATCATTCATTTTTTTTTCAACAACATGTCAAAAGTGCAATAATCGAATTTCTCGATAATGCCGTATTTGTGGAAAAAAGTTTGACTCATATCGGAAAAACGTGTTGTGCTTAACAAAAAAATTGTTAGTAAAAAACAGATTTTGATAGGCTTAAATTTTAGTTTGAGATTTATACAAAGAAGAGGATAATAAATGATTAATTTTATTTTAGTGGCAATGACGTTAATTAGCTTGTTTTTATGAGCATGTTGCCTTTTTTTTGGTTGAAAATCTACTTGTTTCCACGTCACATGTACTCCCCGGACTTTAAACAATGTACTTAATGCAAAATATATTCATACTCTCTCCCATATATAAACATACCCATTCTTTTCAATCTCTGTCCAACTATTAGAATCACCAGTGACATCAACAACTTTCTCATCATTGAACAAAACCCATCTATCTTGTTTCTTGATAAATACCACGTAATGTCCAGAAGTCACTTGGGTTCCCTTATGACAGATAACAGCTTTTAAACTATATTCACTTCTATCATCAACACCTTCTTTAATTAATCTTTCCAATTTCTCAGTTGGTGATTCAGTTTTAACAGATTTACCAACTTCAATAACACCATCATCATCAGGATGTGAAAATAACCATTCAACAGACGCATTAACATCATTATTATTCAAATATAATGCCTTTTTGGCTAATGCTGCAGAGAATCCCATGTCTTGCAATGAAGATATTTGTGATTCATCAACTTGAATTTCATCTTTAGATTTTGTTTTAAAATCAATTGGATCATCTATTGTTGGATCTTCTAAATGTTGAAACAACCAATTCATTGCAGCTTCAGTATCAGAATTCCCTGTTAAATATAATGCTTTTGTTGCTCTACCTTCTGGGAACCCCATTTGTTGTAAATTGTTTAGCGCTTCAGTGTTTGGTTTGAATGAATGATCATCTTCATCTTCATCATGGACTTCAACTTTTCCGTCTTCCAAGACTTGAGGATTTTGGAAATCTTTTATATCAAATGATTCAGGTAAAGTTAAAGGAACATCTGTCTTTATGGGGACCCAATTTTCCAACTGAATTCTTTGAACACTTGTGACTAAATATTTTGGGAAAGTTTTGAAGAAAACGTTTTTATCAACTTTTGAATTTTCACCTTTAACATTCCATTCAATTTCTTCAGTTGACAAATATTGAATCAATGAATCTATAAAATCTTGACGTTTATAAATTTTTTTACCATCTTCTATATGATCTAATTCAGTTTCAACTTGTAATGTTAAAATTTCATTAACTTGTGATTTCAATTTAACTTCATTATTACCATTTGGGAATTTGAATTTCTCTAATGTGACAAATCTGAAAATATCATTTAAATTTGAATCAATAGTATCAATTTTATCTAATAGATAATTCCAGAATTCAAAAGCATCTTGTTGTCTCATTGAACTAAATTCTTCATGGTCTTGTCCAACTAATCTTTTGAATGAAATTGGTGCAATACCAACTTGATAACCTTCAGAATTAGGTTTTGAAAAATCACCAGATAATAACCCATTAGCTAATTTGACTAATTGAAATTCTAATCCATCATTTTCATCTTGGAAACTGGACAATGCCTTTTTAAATTTGGAATATTCTGGTAGTGAAAATAAAGATTGTACAACAGATGAAAGATAACATGAATTACCTAAATTTTTCAACCCAGTTAACGAAGGACCGAAAACACTTGGTAATTTCTCACCATTATCACCCTCCATATTGAAATCCCATTTTAAATTTTGTTCAATCTGTAATTCAACTAGTGATTTTTCAGTTTTTGTGAAATTATCTAAATCAATACCAAAAGTCTTTAAACAATTTGATAATTCAGGAAATTTAATTTCATCATTACAAGCATAACAATAAACGTCTGTAACATCTTTGGATAAACTCCCCAATTTAACAGCAATTGGATGTGTAGAAATTTCGAAATGTTGTAAAGCATGAGTATTACCAGCAACACCACCAAATTGTGCACGTCCACAACCTAATTTCCCACAAGTCAAACAAATCCATAAATTTTCCTTCAATTCACATTCACCACATTGGGTCAATTGAACATCTTTTATGGGAGTCTGTTGGAATTCAATGGTATGCTCACAGGGCAAGATCTCTTGTTGCCATGTTTTAAGTTCCTCTTTTCTATTGACAGAATCGGAGTTTATTATACGGTCAATGGTGGCCTGTGTTTCTTGGTTGATATCTGTGATGAGATCTAAGGAATCACCATCATATTGGAACAATTGAGTCTTGATGTCATACAAATCACTTTCACTCTCTTGCTTGATCTCCAATTTAATCATTTTAGTAGTCTTCTCCCTTTGCGGTTTCGCCACTTTGGTGTAGTTCAAGTAGATTGTGTCATCTTTGAAAAGGCTGTAGTGTAGAGCAAGATGCTCTTTGCAAAAGGCCTTGTGGTGCCTTGTGCTGATGTTCAATCCCTCGCTGTCAAAGGCTGTTCTGAAGCAGTAGAAGCAGTCGTCTTTGGCTATTGGCTGCCCATCGAATTCAATGGAGCTCATCTTTTTGCGTTGGTGATTCGAATTGTAGTCAAGTTGTTCAAAGTTTGAATTGCCACTTTAAATCGATTCGTTTTTTTGTATGGTGATTATGTCAGCCAGACCCGTTTTTTCTTTAGAAGTATGGGAATTTTTTAGATTGTAGTTCTATATTTTGTTTCCATCAATTGAAGAAAATGTGGTTTAGTAAAGGTCATTTCAAAGTGGAGGGTAAGCTTGTGGTGGTTTCTGGAGGATCGCAGGGCGTGGGTGCTGAATTCGCAAGACAGGTGTTCTCAAAAGGTGCAAGTGTTGTGATTGTCTCTAGAACAGAATCTAAATTGAAAACCGTGGTGGATGAAATCTCAAAATTTAGAGTCAATGACGTTCAAACCGTGTCATATATTGCTGCTGATATCTCCAAATACGAGGAATCTGAAAAAGTGTTTGATCAATTGGATAGATCTCCAGATATTGTTGTGTGTTGTGCTGGCTCATCAACCCCTAAATTATTTCTTGATTTGAGTCCAAGAGAATTAGAGAGTGGTATCTCTACAAATTATAACACTGCTGTAAACTTTGCACATGCTGCACTAAAGAAAATGTCATTAGTTAACTCTGCAGACTCAAGACATTTGATATTCTTTTCATCTGTTGTTGCATTTTTCCCATTTATTGGATATGGTCAATACGCACCATTAAAAGCTGCAGTTAGAGCATTGGCAGATGTATTAAGACAGGAAACATTACAATACAACATCAAAGTTTCAAGCGTTTTCCCTGGTAATTTTGATAGTGAAGGTTATGTTGAAGAGAATAAAACAAAACCTGAAATTACAAAAAATATTGAAGGTTCATCATATCCAATCTCTTGTGAGAAATGTGCAAACATTATAATTGACTCTTTGGATAGAGGATTTGAAACCATAACAACAGATTTCATTGGATGGGTATTAACAACAATATCGTTGGGTTTAAGCCCAAGAATATTTGGACCATTACAAGCCATATTAGGTTTTATAATAGCATTGATTGCCCCAATTATTTCATGGTTTATTGATAGAGATATTAAAAATTATTTCAAGAAGCAAAAAA